CCGGAGGAGCGAGGAGGAGAAGGGCGGGGGCAGCTGGGAGCAGGAGGAAGGTCCCGGCGCTGACCTGCCCCCGGTGGGGGAGGACACGATGTGGGTCTGGGTTTCTGGGGGGCTCAGCCTCCCTCCTCACTGAGGAGCAGGTGGGGTCCCCCCGCCCCTCCCGTCCCCGCGCTCACCCTCCGAGCCTTGCTCTGGTATTTTACAGCTTTCTTGGTGTCGGACACGGCTCGCTCCACATAGTCAACGGAGTGCTCCACGTTGTACTCGATGCGGTCTATCATCTCCCCCTGGAACGCAGAGCCCGGTGAGAGCCCGCGAGGGCTGGCCGGCTGAGGGAGCGGGCCGCGGGGGCTTTCCCTTTCGGGAGCGCCGGGTGCCGTGTGGGGCCAGCCGGCCTGGGGGGTGAAGAGTGAGACAGGCCCCTCCCCAGCGGGGCTGAAAGGCGGCGGCAGCTTTACCCAAAGCCGTTCTGAGCCTGAGCGCGTATAGATCCCTACGCTCTGTCACATGGGTTCACGGACCCAGAACTCTGCCGGGTCGGGGAAAAGCGCAAGGCTTCTACGATGCAGAATACCATGGGCTGTGGAGAAAAGCCCCGGGTCCCAAGGTTCAGAACCCGGGAACGTAGCTAATGAGCGCCACGCTCCAGAACTCTTCTGGTTCTAGAGTACACGGGTTCTAGGACGCAGAAGGCCATGGGCCCCACGGTCTAGAACTCTGGATGTAGCAGTACACCATTTATGGGTCCTGCCATCCAGAGCTCTTTGGGAGCCGGATTATACTGCATGGTTTCTACAACACAGAAGGCTTTGGGCTGTAGAAAAGGGCTCCTGGGCTCCAAGGACCAGAACTTGGCTGGTTCTCAGCCCCAGCTCACGTGTTCCATCATCCAGAACGCTGCGGGTTCTAGGCTGAGGCCCACTCTAGATCCCGAACGCTGCCGGTTCTAACCTGGCTCTCCACCAGCATCGCCATATCCACAAACATGTCGTGCAGTTCCCGGATGCTGGTCTCCAGTTTGATGATCTCGTTATGCCGGGTCTCGATCTCGTTCAGAGCCTGTTTCGTCATCTGTGAGTCCATTTTGATCTGTGGAAGCGGGACGGTGTGGGGATTATAGAAGTGAGCATCCCACCTTCCCGCAGGGCCTTCTAGTGCTCGCTCGTGGCTGAAATGCAGCCACCTCTGGGCTGGGGCAGCAGGATCACAGCTGACGCTGTACGGGGAACTCCTGCCCTGAGCTGAAATGAAATTGGCCTCAGTGGGCCAGCACCCCCTAACCCAGCACTGGGGCCTTGGGAATACCCCTCTCCTAGATCCCCACCCTTCTCCTCGCAGCCTCCCGGGGCTATTGACTCCGTCTCCCAGGCAAGCCCCGTTGCCAATGCATGCCCAGCGCTGCAGTCCCGACACCTACATCATCAGTGAAAATAGCCAATTTGCCGCTCTCCAGCATGTCCTCCAGCTCCTCGTTGGTGGTTGTCCGGCCAGCTGTGAAGGGGACGGGACGTAAGAGGCCTTGGCCCATTGTTCCAGGGCTAATGGATGCAAAACCTGTGCCCCCTGGCACCTCATGGGGGCACTAGGATGAGTCCTGCCAGCCAGTGGAGACTACCCCCTGCTGAGCCCTCCTCACAGCACCCCCTAGTGCCTCCCTGGGGAACTGGGCCAGCCCTGCCTGCCAGGGGAGAGCGCCCCCCCAGGGCCCTGCCCTGCGCCCTGCCCTGCTCCCTGCCCCACAGCGCCCCCTAGCACTGCCCTGGGGCACTGGGCCAGCCCTGCCTGCCAGGGGAGAGCGCCCCCCCAGGGCCCTGCCCTGCGCCCTGCCCTGCTCCCTGCCCCACAGCGCCCCCTAGCACTGCCCTGGGGCACTGGGCCAGCCCTGCCTGCCAGGGGAGAGCGCCCCCCCAGGGCCCTGCCCTGCGCCCTGCCCTGCTCCCTGCCCCACAGCGCCCCCTAGCACTGCCCTGGGGCACTGGGCCAGCCCTGCCTGCCAGGGGAGAGCGCCCCCCCAGGGCCCTGCCCTGCGCCCTGCCCTGCTCCCTGCCCCACAGCGCCCCCTAGCTCTGCACTGGGCCAATCCTGCCTGCCAGGGGAGAGCGTCCCCTACTGGGCCTGCCCCACTCCCTGCCCCACAGCGCCCCCTAGTGCGCCCTGGGGCATTAGAGTTAGTGCTGTGAGGGTGTGCATCTCCCCCACCCTGCCCTGATTCCCGCCCGCAGGGGAGTGTCGCTATGTCTCTTACACACACACAACCACAGCCCCTCCCCCCACTATCCAGACGTACTTATTTCCAGTTGCCTCTGGATCCGATCCTTGCAGCGGTCCCGGTACTTGGACTGGGTGGCGTTGTACTCGGTCATCACCTCCACGAACTTACGGGACAGGGTGGAGTGCTGAGGGGCGGGGAAACACCGTGAGAGGCGCAGTGGATGGGGAAGGAACCATTTTTTTCGGTGGCAGAAGCTCATGGCACCGGCTG